TTACTAAAGAAGCATACTGCTATATTATGTGTTTTTTAATATTTTGATGACTATTTTCAATATAATTGATTTTGTTTGTTATTCTATGTATTTTCATTGATGCATTTCAAAATGTTACACTGAGAAGGGGACCTTAGGCTTCACCAGACTGCCAAAAGGATTTGTGGCACAAAAAAGGTTAACAACCCCTGTGTAGAGGAGCAAAGGCACAAAGCTCTAGAGGCAGACAAGTTTGAATTCGAATTCAAGCTCTACCAATTTCTAGCTCTTTTCCTTTGAGTGAAAGGATTTAAATTCCCTGAGCCTTGAATTTCCTCGTCTTGATGGAGGGAGCCAATACAGAAACTCCAATCTTGTGAAATCATTCATTCATCAAAAAATGAACACCTATTTGTGCCAGGCACAAGGCTGAATTCTGGGGCTACAGTAATAAAGAGGACAGAGATGGTCCTTTTAAGCACTTCGTACAGGTGGTCATGCTACCTGATGATGGCAGCAGTGACTCGCACGGAAGCGTCTTATGAACACTGCAGCACTAGTGCTAAAACCGCAACACTGAGTGTTGAGTTATGGGCTCATTTATGCTGCTTCCCATGTAGCAACTGTGGGTTCATCTAGTTCATGCCTTCAGCTTCTCAGAGGCCAGAGGCCTATGCCTCATACAGAAAGGGCAGTTTACTAGACGGAAGAACCAATGTTCCTGGCTTCAAAACCCTTCTCTGCCACCTACTGCCTTTGTGACTATGCATGAGACCAGTACCTGTGCCTCTGAATCTGTTCTCGCCTTCCCTACCATAAAAGACCCCCAATTTTTAGCTGGATGCTAGGAATTAAAGATATTTCCCAGCCTCCCTTGCAGCAAAGTATGGTCATGTGATCAAGTTCTAGCCAATAGTAAGCAGACGTGTGCAATTTCCAGGACATGTCCTTAAATTAGGAGGGCATCCCCTCACCAGCCCTTTTTCTCTTTCCTGGTGGCTGGGCTAGCATAGCCATCTTGGGCCATTAGATGACCTTGGGAATGGAGGGATGCACAGGGACCAAGACAGAAAGGGCCTGGGTCCCTAGCACAGTGGAGCACCATTGCACTAATCTACCTCTGGCAAGTTCCTTAACCTCCCTGGATCTCAATATCCCCATCTACAAAAAGGTGATAATGTGAGATATCTATCTACAAGGGTTATTTTTGAGGACTTAATGAGATAGAACTTGTTTCATGGTAAAGGCTAGAGTTAGGAGAAGTGGTATTATTACTGTTCTTCTCTTGCTGCAGTGAAAAACAGAGGAGACTGGGACATCTTAACACATCCTGGGTACCCAGAGGTGGCTCAATGAGTCACACAGTTGACAAGCATTTTAGCCAGTCTAGTCCTGACAAAAATTTCCTTCTCTGCAACTACTATCAAATGGTTCCCAGGAAAGGGAACCAGCACTACCTGTGGGACAACTGTTGGGATGATGTTTGCTCATCCATACACCACGATCCTCATCCTCTTCATTCAGAACCCTTCCCACGATGGCCCTAAGCCACTTCACTTCTCTCTTCTGCCTTTGATCACTCCAGTCCTGCCTCTGAGCTCACTCCCATCAAAACATCAAAGTTCTTTTCAGTCTCTTTTGGAAGCACCCTCTGGCCTCTACCCTAAGAAACCTTCCCTACCTGACCAGCCAGTGATCACTTTCTCATTTCCACACTATTCAAGCAAGAGGCTTCTCAAACTCTACAAATGAAATTCTCTCCCCCTGGAGAAGAACACAAGTGATTATTCCCATCTACAGATTCTCCTGTGCTGGTCCAGAGATGTCCCAATCTCCTACATGTTTCACTGTGAACACTTTTCAAACTATTTTATCTTGTTTGAAGCATCAGCACTGGCCTAGGAGGCATAATTCTCCATGGCTATGCAAAATCGAAATTTGCTTTATGTGCCTAAAGCTTATATTCATCTTTCTTGGTTACTGCAGACACAAATCCTATTCTATCTCTCCCACATTGCTGTCATCTTTCCATGTCACTGTCAGTCATGCAGGCTGCTCTCAGGCACAGGCACAGGCACAGGCACAGCCACAACCACCTCCCCCTCTTACTCCCTCTTTCCACACTCATGCCTACTCACACCAGCTCCTGCTCCGTCTCTCATCTTCTGCACCTCTGGCTCCCCCCTTTCTTAGTAGTAAAGTTTCCTATCCTGACAGCTCAACCAGGCCCAGGCTTAAGATGGCTTTGGAATTGGAACGAGGGTGGCTGTGGCAGCCGGTGGCTCCCAAACTGGGAGGGACACCAGAGCTGCAACAGGAAGAAACAAAACACAGTGGTCAAGAGGGCAGGAATCAGTGCCCATGTGGCTTCAGAAGGACAAAGACATGGGCAGGAATCAGTGCCTAGTCAGGCAGAGGAGGAAGCTAATGCAAATCCCAGACACTGGCAAAGGAAGGAAGCAGAAAGCATAGGTCTGAGCGTGTCAAGGGAGTAGCAAGCGTGTTGGAGATTTATGCTGTGTCCACCCTCACACACTAACACAGGGTTTTCTAACTAAGACTGTCTTTTCTGGAGTCTGGCAGCACCTGGATCAGTCTCGCTTTGTGGAGCACTTAAACCTCTCCTACTTTTTTCTGAACAAAATTCTTTCCCAGGTGTGTGACCCACATAGGAATAAAACCTTGGGATGCTTTGCTATTTTAAATTCACGCTGCACATTAACATGTGTTACAGAGCAAGAATGCTGATGCATGAATCAAACCTCACCAGACTGCAAGCAGGAAATAAGCTCCCAACATGGGTTTTGTTACTCTCTGAATACCTTCTGCTCTCTGAGATTAACAAAGTAGTGGCAAGGCCCCTCCTCGCCAAGCTCAGAGGCATCTAGTGATGAGAAAGACGTGATGTCACCAGTGGTTTCAAACAGTCAAGCAGAGATAAACATGCATGTCCACAGCTCTATACCTTCCACTCCCACCCACATCTGGTCTTCTGCCACCATCCCTTCAGTGCCACCATGATGCTCATTTTCCTCTATGGCACCTATTTGTACATGAGGCTGGGAGTGGAGGGAATATAACAGGGCCTAGTGTCAGGGCCCCAGCTCCATGCCAGAGAGTGGCCCACAGGGTGAATGCAGGGGGACCAGAGGCAGCCAGAAGGAAGGAAAGGCACAAATGTCATACTTCCTTGTTTTTCCTTTGGTGGTTCCTTCCCCTGCCCTGGGCCCCACCCTTCCACTCAGCCCTCTTTCCCAGCCGCACCTCCCACAGCACACCCAAGCCTCCCGGAGGGCTTTCCTTACCTGCCCCCTGAAATCCACATGAATCACTAATTACTGATTTCAACCCAGACACTAAGTGAAAGGCAGATGCAGCATGACAAATACTGAGATAATATTTAGGACTGGTGAATGGAGAGTTCCCTGTCTTCCCTCTACTCTGCCCCAGAAGACAGGAGATGCTGTATCCTAGCCCACACCTGGAGAAGACTGACTAAACCTCACACCAGACTGGGTATCTATCTATGTGTGCTGAGGGGGTGAGGGGCTGGCACGAACAAACTCACACGCTGGTTCCTTAACTCAGACAGACACTGGAATTCCCTAGCACAGCTGAGAGACAGATGACTGCGTCACCATCCCAGAGAATCTGGTTTGATGGGTCTGGGGCTGCTGCCTGCATGCACAATGGAATTTTTAAAGCTTCCCCAGTGATTCCAACATGTACTCAAGTTTAGGAACCACTGATTGAACTCATTTAATATGTGTTGCAGACATTTTTCAAAGCAGTCAAGATGCTCAGAACACCTTATAGCCTTTGACTGTCAAGACAGCCCTTGGAGTTATCACCCCGTTTTATTGAGATTCGGACATCAATCATGGTGAGGCTGTGATTCAACTCAACTTCTGTAACTCCAAAGTCCATTCTCTTTGCACCCATCTGTGAATTCTTGCAAGGGTATAGACAATGCATGGAAGCAGTTACCACTGCCAGCAGGTCCCGAATAAATCCCATAAATGCAAGACCCCTTTGGAGATGCAAACCCCACAGGCAGCAGTGATGATCTCTTCTGAAGGCAGGGGACACAGCGCTACACAGACCTGTACTCATGTGTGAAGTCCAAGGAGATGGAGAGAGAGGATGCACCAGATCCTGGGGGGGGGGACTTATCCTAGACCCAAGATGTGTCCTTAGATACCACACTTAGTACAGTGCTCAATGGCATAGAAAATACCAGTGAATATGGGAATGGATGAGTGCTAGGCAAAGGGGGGACACTTCCATGGAGAGGGAATCCTTATGAGCGGTGTCACAAGATGTCCTCTTGTGGCCACAGGCTGTCTCTTCATCCCACTCCAGGCATTCTGACCTCCTAAGGGGCACAAAAACCAACCCTAACACACTTTCTACCAGGCAGCTTCAATTCCTCCAGTCTCTCTTCTTCCCAGAAGTATGACCTGAGCTTCCTTGGTGAGGGGATATAGGACTAGCACCCTCACACATGTTTAGTCTACAGACCACTCAGGTCAGGTGAAGCATCCCTTCAGACCTTACTTCCACCCAGCCTACGTGCCCCCTAGAAAAAAAGCACCATTACCAAACCAACTTTCCCAGCGGAGTGGGAATAGTGTTGCCACTTCTGACTAGGAATCAACACGGACCCACCCAGCAGTGAAGACCCTGAAGCACTCACATTTGTAAGACCAGAAGAAACCAGAGTGTGGCCCACATGGAGTCCTAACCACCGACACGCAGAGGCAGGACCTCACGGAAAGGCCTGGGACAGACACTTAAGGGCGGCAAGTATTCCTTCTTAAAGACAACAAAAAAATATGCCACCGTTCCTCCAGGATTAGAAATGGGCATCTTAGTTCTCTATTCCAACCCGTGACACACCTCGGATGCCTCCTGGTGTCCCCCAAAGCTGAGTGTTGATGGGAAAGAACCACAAGGAATTACCGGAACCAAGGGCAGGCTAAACTTTCCCATCAATCACACGGATAAGAAGCGCCACTTACCCAGCACAGCCAGACAGCTCAGCACTGGGGAAAAGCACTTCATGTCGGCAGCAGAGAGGAGACACAACACGAGCGCTTCCTCTTCTCCCAGCACTTAATCTCTCATTTCTGACAATGCACTTACAGCTCCAGAAGGCAGTTTTGGAAACAGAACTTCACTAAGAAAATGAAAACAGGTTAAAGAGAAGAAAACAGCAGGCAGGAGTTGGGGGGAGGGGCGGTGGGTGGCATGTGTTAAACTCCCCTATGCCAAAAGAAGGGTCCAGAACAATTCCGAAGGCTTTCTAGGCTTCTGTCACATTGTGTGCCTTGAGGTTTCCACTGCAAGTGAGGAATGCTGTGGATTAATCCCTCAAGCAAAGGGAAAAGACGAGTCTGAGAAAAATCCTTTCATCCACTGATTATACAGAAATGTCCTTGGCTTCACAGTGAAGGTGCCTGTAATCTCCCTCATTCGGATTCCCCAAAGAGAACGGGGCAGGTTTTGTCAAAGACTTTGACAGCCAAATCGCCTTGGCTGGCACCGACCGTTCTGGGTTCTTCATCAAAAAGTCCGTCTCCATCCATGATGGTAGGTCACAGAGCTGCCACCTGCCCCGGACCTGCCCAGGACACACGAAGCAAGTTGGCGTTCGGCAGCCCTGCGGCGGTCCCACAATGCCAGCAGATACCTAAAACAAACACAACAGAGATTTATCAAAGGCAAACACAACCGCGGCAAGACCGAGACGGGCCGAGCGCTGAGCTAGTCCGGACACCTGGGTCGCGTTCCTGGACCAGGACCGTCAACCTTTGCATTTCGACCTTGCGCAAGTCGCCACATTTGCCTCCACCTCAGTTTCCCTGTCCAGAGGAGAGCAATTGTGGGGAGACCAATTGTTCCTGCAATACTTGGAGCAAATGCTTTACTCCCGGGAATTCCCTTCGCCTCCTACCGGGCCCGGCGCCGCCGCTAGCCCCACCCTCCGCGGGAGCTAATCGGGAAGGGGATCCACGGTGCGGCCGCCACTCCCGGTTCCACCCCCGGCCCCCGCCCCACCAGGGGGAGCGCTGAGCGCGCCGCGTCCCAGGTGGCCCCGCTATTGTTTTACCTTCCCGGGTGTTTATTTTTCGCTGATTGCAAAGAAAAGAGGAGGGAGAAGAGCCCGGAGCTTCGCTTTCCGCTGCCAGGGGAGAGGTCTCGGGCCCGACCCCCGAACGAAGCCGGCGCTGGGCCCACCGCCGACCCTCCCCGCCAACCTTCCACGGTTCCCGGCTTCCCTCGCCGCCGCCCCTCCCTGCGCCACCGGCGCTCCCGCCGGATACTGACCTTGCCCCCAGCCCACTCCCTCCACGCGTCCGTCCGTCGATCTGTCCTTGCGCACGCCTCCGGGGACGCGCCGCCTCCCCTCCTGTCCCCTCCGCCACCGCACCCGCAGCCGCGCTCCGGCCCCTCCCGAGTCCCCGCCCCCTCCAGCCCGGCCCGCTGCTCCCGGGCGAGCCCAGCGCGGGGCGGGGGCGGTGGCCTGGGCGAGAGGCACCGCCCCTGGACCCGCCCCGGGGGCCTGGCGGGGATCTGGCAGGGCTCGCGGGGGGGAGCTGCTCTCGCCTGGCCCGCACCTGCTGGTGTCCGGGGTGGCCCGAGGAGCAGGGCACAGCTGGCGTGAGGGCCGGGCAGCCCTGAAAGTCAATCAAGGGTTCACAAGCGGACTGCCGGGCCGCCGGCGAGAAGGGCGCAGGCCTTTCCCAAACGCGCAGCAAAGGACCCACAAACCAGGAAGAGAGCGGTGTAGGAGCGCGTCCCCTCTCCGCAAACACAAACAAAGCCCTCAGCAGGAGACTCGAATCTGCCCACGTGGAACCCCATATTGCGCTTAACTAGAGGACAGAATTTCCTGGAAGTTGAGACTGAACTGGAATCTGGAAACAGCCTGGGTTCTAACGGTGGTTCCTCCACTTCCTCACTGTGGACCTTGACAGAGTTACTTAACCTCTCCGTGCCTCAGTTTCCCCATCTGTTATGAGGAAATAGCCCACCCTGACTTAATAGGGTTATGTGAGATAACCATGACTCACTTGTTAAAACACTTAAGAGTGGCGCCTGCACATTCTCAGCACTCAGTAAATGTGAGCTACACCTATTTTATGAGGAACAGGTGCATTTTATTCATTCAATACTTAGGGAACACACAAGCTGGGAGGCATGGTCAGAGGTGACCAAAATAGAGAACAGGACAGTCCTGCCCTCCTGGAGATTGCAGTAAGTAAATAAATAGGAACAATAAAACAGGTATAGCAAAAAAAAGAACAGAGTGTTAAGAAAGCACCCCTTGTGGTGGGGTCAGGGCATGAGTAGGAGGGGGGTTTGGTCAGATCAGGTGCTGGGAAAGCTCCTCAGAGGAAATGAAAACTAGGTAGAATCTAAAGGGGCAGTAGGAGGCACTGCTACTACTAATCTAAAGGAAGGGAGAGGGAGAGGGAAGGAGTCATGGGCCCTGGAATCAGTATTCTCCAAGGCCCAAAGGGGAAAGAGGGAGTGGCCCAGCTAGAGGACCAGAAGTCTCTCTTGGGCCCAAATTAGGCTATAAGAAAGTGACAAGAAATGAGCAAAGGAGAAATCAGGTGCTGGTACCTGGAGAACTTTTCATGGTGTGTTAAGGAGTTTAGACTTTACCCAGGGCCACAGTGAAGCCCCTGAAGGTTTTGAGTAAGGCGTGTTGTCAGACTGTACATTTTGGAAAGACCACTCTGACCTAGGTGCGGAGGACAGATGGGAAGGGAGTTCTACGAAAGGCTAGGGTTTGTTGCTGAAAATCCAGATGAGATGATAGTGACCAGGACCACAGAAGTAGCAAAAGGGAGGGTGTGGAATGAGCAGATCCCCTTGACGTTGGGCTCCTTGGAATGCCGGGTTAAAGATGAGGAAAGGGGCAGAAAAAAAAGTTCAGCCTCAACAACTGAGATCAGGATGCATAGGATAAGTTTGGATGCATTGAATTTAAGATGCCAAAAAGGCACACAAGTGAAGATGTCCAAAAAGCAATTGAGGTCAGGGTGGGGAGAGTGGAGTTCAAATGCCAAAAGGGATTATAAATATATAAGATGATTTTCACCCTATTGGACTGTATAACAGCAAAAGGATGTAGTGAGGGAAAGACGGATAACTCACTGTGGGGAAAATGTAAGTTCCCATAACCAGGATCTTCACCTGACCCTAATCTGCTTGATGATGTAATTGGCCTACTGCTAGGCTACTGCTTACACACCCATTGGCAATAAGCCAAGATTGCCTGTGCTGCTGTATAGAGAGCTCTGCCCAGTGCTTGGGGTAGAGCAGAGACTGGAGCAGAGCCTGAGCAGAGGCTGGAGCAGAGGCAGAGGCAGAGATGGGCTTGCTGCATGAAGCCTGCCTCAGAGGCAGACATGATTCCAGCAGTGGACCTGCCACTGTGAGAATAAAGTTTTGTATAAGCCCTTTTACCCCTGACATTCCATTGTTGTTTTGGGGTCTCCCTGAATCCAGAGTGAACTTACCTGGGGCAATCCCCCTCAGGCAAGACACTTCTACAAAAGCAATTAATACACCCCAACCCCCACCTGAGTGTGTAGAGCAATGAAGAACATGCTATGGGAGACACAAAAATAACTAAAGTCTTACTTGCTCTCATCCCACTCCCTTGACTGTAAGTTCCTTGTGGGCAAGATTAGCCCTTTAATGATCATGTGTGCCAAACAACTCTTGGCATTGTGATCTGCTTATAGTAATTGCACTATAAATACTTCAATTGAATTGAATTAAGTATGTATCACATATGTCAAATATTGTATTGAAAATCTCTTCCTGTGTGTTAAATATTACCTCTTTCCCCCAAGACAACCCTGATCTCTCACTTCTCCTTATCTGCAGGATCTTTCATTTATTTATTGAGCATCTCCTATGTGCTAAGAAGTCTCTGCTCTCATGGCACTTATATTCTAGGAAGTGCCATGAAATAAAATGTAAGGGAAATACAATGAAACAAACATGTAACATAATGTGACATGTACTCTGAGGAAAAGCAGAATAAAGAAATTGTGTATGTATGCAGGGTGGGGAGGAAGATTCTCTTCTAGATGGAGTGGTCAGAGAAGGCTTCCCAAAGGGAGTGACATTTGAGCAGAGAACCAATTAGTGGGAGTGAGTGAACTTTGGAGATTTCTGGAGGAGGAGCATGCCAAGCTTAGGGAGCAGCAATTGCAAAGCACCTTAAGTGCTCAGAAACAAAAAGGTGCTTAGTGTATCTTAAATGGCATGAGAGAGAAGGAGAAATGTGATCACAGATGACAAATCCTGTAAGACCTCACAGACCAGGCAGCTTTTTGGGGTGCTCTGGCCACACATGCCATAGAGTGTTGGGAGGTAGGAGTGGAGGACGGACACTAAAAAGGAGGGTCTTGAGGTAGTGCAGGTGAGAGATGATGTAGAGAAAATGGAAGTTCCATGGCCAGGATTCTCACCTGACCCTGGTCTGCTTGCCCACTGTGCATGTGCAATGCTCACAGATGCAGGCTTGCACATGTGTAGGCAATAAGTTATTATTGACTCAATGTAAAGAGCTCCACCCAGGGCTGCAGGGCAGTGAGGTGGAGGAGAGGCCCATAGGCAGAGATCAGCTTGCTGAGTGCAGGCTTGCCCTGAGGCAGATGGACTGGGTTCTAGCACTTGACCTGCCACCATGAAAATAAAGTTGAGTATAAACCCTTTTACCCCAAGAATGTTCTGTTGTCATTTTTCAGTCTTACCAAATCCAGAGTGACTTGCTCAGGGCTGAAACCCAGTGGCAACAGACGACCATGGCCAGAATTAGGGTGAGACATAAGTAGTGAGAAATGTTGGTGTCTGGAAGCAATTTGAAAGTTGATCCAATGGAGTTTTTCTGGAGAATTGGATGTGAAGGTGTAGTGAAATGAAAGTGCCTATAGCCAGGATCCTCACCCAACCCTCAACTACTTGATGATGTAATTGTTCTACTGCTAAGCTAATACTTACACAACCTTGGCAATGAGCCATTATTGTAAGTGTTACTATATAAAAACCTCTGCCCAGTGCTCTGCCTGGAGTCAGAGACAGAGATGGGCTTGCTGCATGCAGACTGCCCCAGAGGCAGACATGATTCCAGCACTCAACCTACCAAATAAAAATAAAGCTTGGTATAAACCCTTTTACTCCTAAGTTCAGTTGTTCTGATTTGGTCTCACCAAATCTAGAGTGAGCTTGCCCAGAGTGGGGGTGGGGTGGAAATTACCCCCCAGGCGAGACAGGATGGGGAGAGAAAGAATGTCTAGCATGCATTAGAGCCCTATGACTCCCTGAAGCTGCCCAACCCCTTTCCCAGACCACACTCCCCAAATGCTTGTCCCTAGGCCTCTGAGCCACTTTGGCCATCCCTAAGCCCTGTACTCTGTACTCAGCTATCCTTTCTCAATTCTTTCCTTCTCAACTTACCCCATCTCCTACCACCTAGTCCCCTTGTATCCTTTTGGGTAATCTGTCAACCCTTGACTTCCATCACCACCCCAGATATGTTATGGCTGGTTCCCAGCATAATATCTTTCTAATTTCTATACTGATGGAACATCTAAGATATTCAAAGAACCGTGTAGGTCAGGGGGATTAAGGTACAATTGAGAGAATGCCTCTGCCCCCAGATATGAAATGAAGTAAGTGCTGAACAGTGGCATGATGGAGGCCCTTTCGGGAGACCATCTGCAGGCAGAGAAAGAGTCATAAAAGAAGGGGAACAGTGAAAGGAGAGGAGAAGGCAGAAGTCCCCAGTCAGCAAATATGTCTAATGCTTGAGCTGAACATCAGTAGCTTGCTTCAAAACATCTTATGCTGAAATGTTGAAGCTCCTCCTGGATTGGCTTGGAATCAGGTGGCTAATTTGGAGGTTTTGGAAGACTCCTTACTCTTCTCTTCCAGGGAGTTAAACTTAGAAACCTATAGAAATCAGGCTGAAGCACAGCTTCAGCAAAGATTTTCAGTGGGGAACAAAAGCCCAGTGTTGCCTGATTTTTTTCTTACTTTTTAAGAAAATCAGAAAATCCGGATTTTTGTTGACTTCTTCCTCATTTTATTCATCAGAAGCAAGGGTTTAAAAATAAACACTGTTGGAGAACAACACAAAATGTGTTTGTGGGTAAGATATGGCCAACTGGTTTGTATCAGTGTGAGGTCTCCAGACCTGTTGTATCTGTAATCAGAAGGCTAATATAAAACTATACGGGACATAAGTAACTTTTTTTAAGAAGGAAAAGAAAAAGGCATTAGTCAAGTTCTCTGTTGTCAACTGAAAAAAATTGAGGGCAAGGCATGGCACCTAAAGGTGGCCTGACACTTTGTGCCCACACGCACTGATATAGTGATTGCTCTTCAAGCACTTTGAAATGCCAGGTGGAAAGACTAAAGCCTCT